TTTTTGTTCATATTTCCTGGTCATATTGATGCCTTACGTCTTATTTCCTCCAAAGTATTTTATAGGCAGATCAATGGATCATGGATCTTTATGTTTTTAATTAAATAAGTAATTATTTGAAGAGTAAATATTGTTAGAATGGAAATTAAAGCTTAATCAATTTATATATTTTGTAACTTTGTTATATTCTTTTTGTGAGCTCTTCTCTTCATTACTCATTTTTTTTTTCTGACAGATAAAAATACTTTTTTTTTTTTTTTTTTTTTTTGCAATACTTGCCTTTAACATGAGATTCCTAATGTTTATTTCAGCAGATTAACATCTTAAACTTTGTCAATGTCTTGAGTAAACCATCAGGAAGCTTTCATATCACTTTGGACTTTCACTAACCCCTGCTGATGGCTAATCTTACCTACCTGATTGAGAAGTTAGATTAGGAAAGTGTGTACATTTCCAAGAGGACATTTTAAGGAAATGATTATGAGATCACTTGAATGTCTATACTGTCTATACTGGACTGACAAAATGGGGGAAAGAAAGAGCCTATATAAAGTCGAAGCAGGCTCTCCCACTGCTCCAGGCCACCATGTGAGCCTGAGCCTTGCCATGGTGGTCTGAAACTTCTGAAATCCTAAACTAAGATCAACCCATTCTCTCGTTTTTCCTCTGGCATTTGTCCTAGTAGCAAAAAAGGGACTAGCACCCTCCTTTTCCGCTTCTCATCAATACTATATAGACTCCTTATTCTTGTATTTAGCATTCTTAAATTTACCCATTGGCCACTGGTTTGGAAGAGGGTCTGTATGTGATTACCTGTGTAAGTGATGTTCAGTAGACAACTGGATTCATGGATTGGAGACTTGAAACTCTGATTCTCTCTTAAGGTCAGCCATCTGGCCGGTCACAAGGCATCAGTATCTGCACGATGGTCAGAAATGGGTTTGTTGTAGCCAAAAATCTCTCTGAGGCATTTCTAATTTCTTAGAGAATAACAAAAGAAACTCCTGATCATCGAAATAGTTCTTTGTTGTCTGTAATGTATAAGGTAATCAGCTCTTTTGATTTTTGAGATTGCTAGCAGAGTCTACCACATCATTCATAGTTAAAGTTTTGCTGAATCACTTTTTTTGGTAACCTAAACCAAAGACATGGAAGAGATAAAGGTAAAACTCACTGAATTCTGATCGCTTTAAGTCTTTAAGAAAAGATAAAGTACAATTATTTTTGAGATCTAATTTATTCAAAGCAGAAATAGAAAGGCACCAAATCCTTATGAAACATAAATTCCATTGATGGGAAATACCTACTTCATTATAAAGACAGATATGTTTTTAATGAAGTCTGTTTTAAAGAATTTGTTTCTGATACAGTCTTGAGACATTTTCAAATATCTTTTGCTATATCCCTGGTACCAGTAAAAGAGCAAGGTAGTACAGTAGTGCAATTTTAATCTTAGTTTTCATTTTAACTTATCCCAGAATGTCATTTTCTTTAGGTTATCTCTGCATAATAAACATTAGTGTTAAATCTATTTGTTTACTGTTAGGACATCATTGATATTTATGCTGGCACGTATATAAGTTGCATTTACACAACTGAGCTGAAGTCTTTCATTTATTCTAATAACTAAATCTATTTACTAAGCACTTGAAATTTTTCTGCGCACTATAAGCATATCAATTCTTTTAAAAAAGAATTATTTTCTTAAGAAAATAATTTGCATATAAGGAGACTGAGGAAACAAGGTAAACAACTTGACCTATGAACCTAGATAGATGCATATGCAAACTTGTCTTTTGTCACCAATAGTTCAAATTTATCATTGTCAGGAATTTATAATGCATAATTTTCAAAGGTTACTTCTAACAAATTACATGTCAGCTCATTCATTCCATCTGTAAGCAGACCCGTTATATATAAAACTTTGCATTTCATTTTAACATCAAAAGGCAATCAGGTTCAAAGTTTTAAAAATTAACAATTTAATAATGAATATTTAGAAATGTGGTACACACAAACAGCATAGTAATATAAAATCATACAATATTAAACTACTTTTAAATGAACCCTTAATATGGATGGGTGACAAGTTTTGATAGTTACCAGATATTTTGAGGGCTCATTTTAAATATCATTTGGTCATGCAAATAAAAAAATAAATATGACAAATATATGGATTTTTGAAGTATAAATTGACATACAAATCTATACATTCTTAATAGTTTCCATTAAAGCATCTTTGAAGCATTCTATAACATGAAGTTGAGAACTCAAATATAAAGAAAAGACATGAGGTTTTATTAGAATTGTGTAATTCACATACCAAATACTTACATAAAATTGATAAGCAAAGTGATATTTAGTTATTTTATTGTCTAAGTCGACTTCAGAAAGTCAAACCCTAGGACTGGGCAAGGGTATGCATGCCAGTGGTGCCAGTCACATGGGGAGTTGGGGCAGCATCCCTTGAGCCTTTGAGTTCAAGACCTGACCTGTTTGGGCAATACTATAAGGCCCGGCCTCAAAGAGGAGGGCTTGGTAGTTGGGGTTACTTACTAGAAAAATTAGAAAATCCCAATTTCAAATATAACAAGGAAACAAAAAGTATAGGAGCAATTCAGAATTGAACTCTACTCTCTGAGAAGTAGTGAAGGAGTGATAGATAGGTCACTGGCCCTTGAAGATTGTCAAAGCTTTGTAGAAATTCTGCACAGTAGATTTGTAAAATATTGAAAATTAAAACTACCGTTTTCCCAGCACACAAACCTGTGGTAACTCTTGTTTTCTTGATTCAGATGTCCAAAGTGCTAAACCATAGGATAGTAAATTGGGCTTAAAAATGTTCACATTCCCACTTCTTCAAAAGACCCCTCTGAGGCAGCTGGGGAAGGGAAGGGGCAAACATTATCTTTTCCCATCTGAATAATTTAAATAAAATTCCATGCATATGAGAAATATTAATTTACCCATAAGCAAGAATAATAGACTTTACTATTTAAATTTTCATGGAAAAAAATACTACTTAGGACATATTCTTTACTGAGATTTAAGCCATTAAAACTTAATTGGGCTGCATTGCAAATTTAAATTTTCCTAACCTGATTTAGACCAGTAGCACTTAACTCAAAGTACAAATCAGAATCACCTAAAGATGTTTAGGACAAACAGAAGTCAGGTTCAGTTTCATGGAAATAATAATTGTTATGTGATGGGTGGCAAAGTTCCCATATGGTTCTGCTGTTAAATGAGGTTTGAGCATCACTTATTGATGATAATTAATTAATAATTGCTACTCAAGATAGATTTGATTAAAATAAATTAAAATTCAAGAGTACTTTTTGTGACAGACATTATTATGAGTGCTAATAAAAGAATTTTTCTGTAAAAATTATTGGATAATATTATATTTATCCTCATTACTTGGCTAGCTATATAAATTTACTAAAATAGTCCTCAAACTTCTATTATGTTTGCTATCATAAAGGTTTCCTTTTACTTTACTTAGTAAACTGTCCACTTGGAATTTTATCTGTAGTGATTAAAAGCAAAACTTTTTACTAGCAATATATAGAGCATAACAACTTCATTTTCAAGTCATAGCATATGAGGTATTCTCCACTTCATATCTGAAGTCACAAAGCTATACTTTAAGAACTGAAATGAGATATTGCTTTGATGTTTAACAAAATCTCCTGGGTCAAGAATTAACCCACGGGCATCAGTGCTGGCATTAAATTATCTTAAAAAAAAAAAAAAAAAAAAATAAAACTATGTCAGATCCTCTGGGAAACTAAAAGGAATGGGTCCTTAATGCAGAACATGTTTCTTGTGACCTATTTATAAAAGATTTCTTAGAAAACATCACAGAAGCCTGGTTTCTAAGTCATCTATAATTAGAGATTAGTTAACTCAAGGGAACTAACAACTTAAACTAAAAGCTTAAAATTTTTATGAAAGATCAGTAGTTAAAATAAATACTTAATAAAATATATACTGCAACATAATTAAGAATTTAGTGTTTAAAAACAAAAGTCACATTGTGTTCAGTTAAACAAACTGACGGTAGTGGTTTAAGATATGTAAGAGTGATTAAGGTGTGACTTGAGAAACAAAACTGATTAAGGCCAGAAGAAATGAAGATGAAAGAGATTACTATCATTACTCTAAAGCTTAGAGTTAGAATGAATGACTGGGACTTTTCAGTATGACAATATGTCACCAAGGGGAACCCTGTAGGGAGCAAAAGTCAATGAGTAGTCATGATTATGTAGCTCATGTTAGAACACTCTGTGTGAAAGAGAAAATGAGATAGAGCACTACTGAGCACCACTAGGAATATGTACAAAACTGAAGTGAAGAGCAAGTATGAAGTTATAGGAATGTATTCCTAAGCTAATTTGTCATAATGAGCGATGTATGATTATTTTAAAATGGTTTAGCCACCGTTTCTTCTAAACCTCAATTAAAGAACACATAAGCAAGTATGGATTTGAGTTACGTTGTCCCAGGGTTTAAGAAAAGAATTCCTGAAGGAAAAACAATGTCTTCAATGAATGTCAGTCCACTGCTGGATCCAAGAGGTAAAGAAAAAAATGAGAAGAGAGCTCCTAAATGGGAATTCACAAAACCCAGGACATACCGGATTAATCTCCAAAGGTTCATCCTTGACAATTCAGGTTAGTAGATAGACCTGCCCGCTCCCCCCAACTTCCACACCTCAAAAAAAAAAAAAAAAAAAAAAAAAAACCCACACCCTTTCTTTCTATCATAAATGTTTCAAATTTGTCACCTAGAATTTAAGATTTTGCTTACAGTCACCAAATTTGTGCCATCTATTATAAAACAATATATCCTGGATCAGAGAGGTCTTCAATAAAAATCTTGTTTTGATCCTATACAGAAGCTCTTACACAGTTTCTGAAAAAACCATATACATACATACATATATATATACATATAGATATCACACATATCTATATGTATATATATATACATATATATATATTTTTCTTGATATTTTTAGTTTCCAGTACAAGCAAACACATGATATAGACTGAAGTTCTTTGATACCATTGTTACATGATAAAGAATGGTATTATTCTCCATTTAAAATACGTTCAATCTCTTCTAGTCTTTTCAAAGCAGCAACTCTTTTCTTCTCAATTTCCTTGATGTCTTTTGCTGTTTTATGGGGGGCCTCTCTGTCTGCATTTTCTGTTGATTGCTTGTTGGATTTCGAGTTTTTACGATCATTTGTTTTTATGATTTGTGCTGGACTGGATTCACTTCTGATTTCTTTTACATGCTCAGAAGGGATTTCATCTCTTTCTTCTGTTATACCCGATGTCTTATCAACTTGGGACACTGGCTGCTCTAAGATACCAGAAGAGGAAATTTTATCCCTGACTATACTCAGATGGCGTTGAATATATTCCTCGTGAGGTGCTAATGCCAATGTTTCCACCAGGCATCTTTCGGCTTTTAATAAGTCCCTCTCTTCAAAGTACACCACACAAAGATTGTGCTTTCCTTGCACATTGCTTGGATCCATTTCCAGTATCTTCTCAAAACACTTTTTGGCTCCAGGTATATCCTTCTTCTGGTTCATCAGAATATCACCTTTTAAAATGAGACCCTTGGTATGGTCAGGGTAGTATCTGAGCAGCTCTTCTAAGATTGGCAATGCCTTTAACTCCTTAGCCGTCTGTGAATACAGGAGAGCCAGGTTAAACAAAGCACTTCTAAAGTCAGCTTGTAATTTGATGGCTTTCTTCATCCAAGCTTCAGCTTCAGAATCCTTCTTGTCATCCATAGCAAGCATTCCCAAATTGAAATAGCCGTTAGCATCTTGTGGCTCTTCATTTATGTAGCTCAGAAGCCGTTTTCTAGCTTCAGGTCTAAGTTTAACTTCACCTAAAAGTAATTTTTTTAAAAGGATATAAATTATCAATAAATGGGCCATTTTCAGGTGTTTTGTTATATTACAAAATACAGCAACAAAGCTACTTATTTCTGTATCTAAGTAAATAAGTATAAATCAAGCACATCTTTCCTTATAGGAAAGACAATGAGCTTGAGGTACTAAAATGATTAGCTTGTTTCCTTGTCAATCAACACACTGGAAGCCAAGAGGAGAAATTTCTTTAGTTTGGAACCTAACAGGACATTACAGAGGAAGAATAGATAAGAGTTTAAGACATGGGATTTCCAAAGATGTGCACTCAAGCACAGTTCTGTTCGTATTTTGCGTTCGCACACCAAATAAGTTCTTTAATTTCTCTTGGCTAATTTACGGAATTTCCTAAAAAGTATGTACAATTGCATGTACAAGTACATATATACTATATTTTAAAACTTAGCAGGTATTATAATAACTATAAATACAAACAAATACTGACAATAATTTTAATTAGAATGGTCTTAAAGTTATTTTCATACATTTAGATGAAAACTTGTGCTGGAAAATGAGCAATTTCACAATTATTAAGATTCTGAAATTACTAGTTTTTAAATTTGTACTTTTAAATATCAAACATAAAAACCTTTGTATTACTTTGAGTGTAATATTAATAAAGAAAATCTAAAAATAAGTCAATAGGCTCAGACGAGTTACCACTTATTAGTATCTAATGTATTTGAGGTATACATTAGGTCCTTTTGGCATCATTCTCTAGCCTATCATATGGAAGACTTGGGAAAGCAAGGTCTACTTAAGCTACAAAATATTTCTAATTTTATATTTCTTTCACTTCTGCAAAAGTTTAAAGAAATATTTTCAACATATAATAGAAAAGAAAACATTTTCAACATAAAAATTAATATTATAAATCATTTATGCTGACTTATGAAGGAAAATATTTCTAGATAAAACATAGTTCAAAGAAACAGATTTATTGTGATTGATGTTAGTTTATTTAAATGATAGGAAATGGAATTAATTATAATACTATTCAAAAAACAAACTAAATATATAGAGAGATTGTGGTTTGAAAGAAAATGGCCCCCAAAAGAAGTGGCACTATTAGGAAATATGACCTTGTTGGGCAAGTTGGGGTGGGCTTTCAGGTCTCCCATGCTCAAGCTATGCCCACTATCACAGTTTACTTCTTGTTCCCATGGATCAAGACACAGAACTCTCAGCTCCTTCTCCAGCACCATGTCTGCCTGCATGCCACCATGTTTCCTGCCATGATGACAACGGACTGAAACTTCTGAAACTGTAAGTTACCCAAATTGAGTGTTTTGCTTTAAGAAGTTACTGTGGTCACAGTGTCTCTTCACAGCAACTGAAACCCTGACTAAGCTAAAGATACACAAAGAATCAAAACTTTTATAATGCCCTGGGATCCTCAAACATGGTTACAAAATTTCCCCCACAATTGCTGCACTATTTGGACTTTATACTTACTATGTTTATATGAACAAAATGATACTGTATACTAGGTAGGTACTGGTTGCTAGAGTATATAAAAAGTTTTAACACTCTAGAAAAATGAGCATGTGATACTGTCACATACAGTCTGTTTGTGGCACTTGCAAAGACTTAATGTTAAATATTTTGATATTCTTTATTGTAAGTTGTCTTATGTACACAATTTTGTTACAAGCAGCCTTTCTAAAAAATGTCTGCTATGGGTTTGCAATATTCTAACTGACTAAATATAGACGTGTTTTTAGGAAACTTACCTGACTCCTGCATTAAAATAGCAGAATTGAATAATGCTAGCTTATGTTTGGGATTTAATTCCAAAGCCCGATTGAAGTTTTTCAGAGCTTCATTGGGTTCTTTGAGCTCGATATAAACAATTGCCAAGTTGTACCACAGGTCTGCGTTGTTTCTGTCCAGCTCTAGGGCTTTAAGATATGCTTCTTTCGCCTTGAGAGGTTTATTCATTTTTAAAAGCAACTCTCCCCTGTGGGAAGGAAGTAGACAGACAAGACTTACAGTCTTACTATGTCACTGCATGAAACCACTTTGGACTACATTTATGCCTTGCTATACAATGGCTTTCTTTTCTTCTTTTACCTGACAATTTTTAAAAGGTCTCTTTCAAAAAATCATTTGGTGAAAATAGCCTCAAATCTGAACTCTTATATATTTTCAACTAATGCATTAAAAAGTGCGTATCTGACTTTGGATGATAACCGTAGAGAAGTAATCGAGATAGGGTGACAGAAAATGTGTTCATGGATGAATGTTAGGAGACAACTGACTTCCCGGCAGCACAGCAGCTGATTAAAGGGGCAGATCAGTGCATCAAATGACGAGACAGAGTCACCTGAAAACAGTAGGGCTGTTACTGGGGATTGGGGTCTTTGAATCTGATAGAAGTCTCTGTACAAATTAGCAGACTTCAGAAATGTAACATCTCTCTTCGTGCATTAACTTGGTCTCCTCCAAAGTGTTATAAGGAAATGACTATTATAAGAAAGGGACTTAGATGGTTAGTTAGAGAGCACTTGTGCCACCTGCAGGTAGTGTTCGGGAACACACCGGAACTGACAAGCTTAAAAACCTAGCAGTCTTTCTAGCATGGTTCCATTTTGAGTTTGAGAACTTAAAAAAAGTCATGTTTGCTTAAAATTTGTGAAGTGTTTTTTGTTTGTTTGGTTGGTTTTTTTAAACTAAGATAAACACAGCAAATTCTAGGCATGAGATCAAGGTTATTATTTCAATGCAGAGATTACTGAGAGTCTTTATGGAATAATATGACACATTGAGAGCTAGATATGGACAAAACAAAAACAAAACAGTATCCAGCTTAGGAATAGATTTTAATCTTTAGACCTCAAAAAGTTAAATTCAGAATATACTTTCCTCAGAGGAACAATGCTTCATGTTTAGTATATAAAACAAAGCTTAACATGCAATGTCTCTTAAGTATACAAGTGATAACATTTATATGAGAATATACAAAAGCATTAACATGGTGTCAGACTTATTTTTCTTTACTGTCAACCAATAAGTCTGCTCTGTGGCCAAGGGGACAGCAACAGAGAGACTGGTTGAGATCGACTAATACTGTTTACAAGACACAAATGGAGCTGATATGCAGCTGCTTCTGGGAATCTCTTAGCTACCGTAATGATTCCCTTGTCAATTTCAAACTCCTCGGATTGGGCATTTTGTTGAAACACACAAGCAGTTACAGCTTCAATCCTACAGTGGTAATTCTAAGGTAGACCGTGGTACCTGCTAATGTAGGCCTGCTTGAAGTCCGGCCTCATGCTTATTGCCTGCCGGTACAGCTGATCCGCCTCCTCCAGGCGGGACTCGTTTGCTCGGATGAGGTTGGCTAGATTGATATAGACATTTAAATGATTTGGGGCAATTCTGGTTGCATATTTTTTACCAGGAATAATCTGTTTAGGAGAAAAACATGTTTGAATGTTTAACAGTACAGCAGCAAATAAAAATAACAAGAAAGTTTTCCCAGTGGCTCAATTCAAATAACACAGAACCTAGGGGTTGTTTTTTTTTTTTTTTTTTTTTTTTTTTTTTTGCTGATAGTTTTACTAATATAGCAAAATAAATCATGAAAATATGAAAATGTAAGAAGGGCATGGTTGTGCATGCGTCTAATACCAGCACTAGAGAGGGACATGGAGTTCTGTGAGTTAGAGGCCAGCTTGTCTACAGAGTCCACCCAAAATAACAAAACAACCTCCCTTGGAGGGTGGGGGGAGGGAAAAGCAAACACACTTAGAAGGCCCTGAAGACTAGATACTTTTTTTTTTTTGTTTTTTGACACTGAAAGACTTATATTGTTTTCATTCAGGCCAGCTCTGCATTTTTCTGGCTTTCTGTTTATACTTCTCTTTGTATTAAGTCAGATAAACCAAAACTTTTACAGTTCAAGGTCTCACAGTCTCCAACACAAGATAAACCTGCTTCAGCCCAGCTCTGTTGTCAAGAAAGCCATTTCTTGGCTGCAACAAAAGCAGCTAGTTTTGTTTCAGAGTAATGTTAAAACCTCACTTGTTTTGTAAAGTTGAAAAATAAAATTCAAGTATTATATGCAATACAAATATGGATCTTTTGTACTATATATCCAGTGACCTTATACCTGTGTCACTGCAACAATGGATGAGCACAGAAAAGCATCAGGGGCAGGTGTAGCTGCTGTTTTACCGCCTGCTTTAATTTCTTCAATAGGAGTAGTTCTGAACTTACTACTTAAAGTAAACAAATAAACTTCTCTTCATTTGGTCATTTATGGCAATTTAATTTATAATCAGCATCAGTATCTATGTTCTAAGACTCAGCATTTACATGTGAACTGTACAAGGCGTTTTTTAAACAATCAATTGAGCAAGAAGTTATCTCTAGTGAGGAACAGAAGACTGGGGGGGGTTTACTGTAATTTACCATCACTGAATTAAGTGACATTTGTCTACTGGGGTAATCTTACTCGTATGGACATGACACGGTAAGCAAGGCAGCTTACTTGAGGCATCAGTGATTTAGCCAACATGTACGACTCTTCTGCTTCTCTTGTTCTGTTTAAATTTTTGTAAGTTCTTCCTACATTCATGTGGGCACCGATATCATCTAAAACAAAGCAAGACATGTAATGGCAAATGTGCTAGGCAATTGTCATTGTAACTATTGAGAAGGCAGGTTCTCAAAAAAAAAGCAAAGAACGTGCGGGCGGACCGGCTCTGCTCTTTATCTCAAGTTCTCCAACAACTCACTGTAACTTACAACTGACACAACTAAAGGGACACTACAAAGCGCCTCAGAGCACCTGAGGACACAAAGTGCAGGACACAGGGGAGCCTCTTGAATGCACCACTGAAAGCTAAGGGAATAGAGTTACAGGCAAAGAACTACTAACTTCACTACACTCTGCTACAATTTGTTTCTATATCCTTAATCTCGCAATCTTGAAATTCACTAAAAACTACAGCTCAACTCTACAAGTGAAAATGATTACAGCAATTCCTATAATTAGGTCACGGGTTTAACTAACAAATATGCACCATGGTAGAATTACAGCTAAGAAAAGGAGAAACTTGTGGTTAAGAGAAAATTCTGTGAATGTGATCAGAGTGGAATGTCAGGTTGGTAGATTGACACAGGATGTCGTGGTCATTCTTTTTAAAATGATGATACATTCTATGCTACTGACAATTTAAAGTTATGTTAATACCAGAATGTCAAGAATTTCTATCTCATTTCCTGATATGGAAAATAAAATGAACAATAAATTTATTCAGGGGGTGAATAAATATGCATCTTTAAGAAAGTTGGGGGCTAATTACACAATAGTTTAAAAAAGGCATTTCTAATAATTATTTCAAAGATTTTGAATAAAGATAGAAGAAAGGGAGATCAGACACTTTTCACGCAACATCAATATCTAACAGACAAGACAGGGTTTCAATTATGATTGCTACTTGCCTGCAACACCGATGATTTTGCAATTGTGGAACAGTAGTTCTTTGAGTGCAACTCCCAGGACACATAGGGGCCAAGCATATGTATCTTGGGCATTCCCCTAGGAGGAGAGCAACAGTCCTAAGATCTTGCTGTGTGATGTTCATTGTGTTTCAACTGAGTGCACTGCATATGAACTGGCAGAGGAATACGTTTTGAGAACGGGATGTTCCTAACAGTTGTGCTGCTAATAGCCCTGAAGTGCAACTGATCCAACAGTCTGTGGATACGGAGATGGATGGACGGAGCGGCATATCTACATGGAGAAAGGCTGCTCGGCCAAACAAAAGTATTTTTATAAAATTCATGGACAACATTGGCGAGGATCAAAATAATTATACACAGCAAGAAATAGAGGAAAAAATGAGTCCTTAGAGGGTGATTTTGTCCATATACAATTTCAGAAAAAGCAAAGAAATATATAGTAATTGAAAGCAATTCTATTCTACTTCGTGGAAAAGATTCTAAAAGGATAGAAAAAATTGGGAGACTGATGGTCTTATGGGTACAAATACATGAAACTTTTAGATTTCTAAATAGTCTTTTTTTTTTTTTTTAAATAACTATTCTTTGTACAGCCAGTACTCTTCAAAATTACCTTCAGTGATTTATACTTATAAGGAATTTTAATTGCTCAAGAGCCATTGTCTCCTATTAATTCTAATTTCTATGCTTTTTATTTTTATATTTTAACTATAAATTTCAAGTATTTAAAATCTCATCAATATGCACGCATGCGCGCGTACACACACACACACACACACACACACACACACACACACACACACGTTTTGGTTGTGTATATGTATTTTTTTTTTTAACATATCTTCTATACCTTACAGCAAATATATAAATTTTTTTGGTATATTTTGAGTTGGCTAATAAAAGCACTAAGAACCCTAGTAAATCAAGAACCCTAGTAAGTCAAGAATTTTCTGGTATCTTCCTACTTGCCTAGGGATATTCTTTACAAACAGGAAGAAACTAGGAGTATGAGAGACATATGGCACAGACCAAAAAAAAAAAAAAAAAAAAAAAAAACCTCAAATAGTTGTTATTCAGGAAACTTCATTAGTAGGTAGCTGTACACATTACACATGGCTCCCTCGTCTACAACCCCTACTCTGTAGTTACACCTATACAAGATTTACTCATTGTTGAAGCTCATGTTGTACTATGACTTCCATCCTTAGGCATGTAATAAAACTTCCATTTTTCCTGTTATTTGTTGTCAGTTTACATGACTAACTGAAATTATCAAATGTTGGAAAGAATAGAACAAATTCTAAACTACATTTCCTATGGGATCCTCAAGGCAACAGTAAAAATGCTCTACTCACTGCTGGTTTCCAGCAATTAAAATAGCACCTGACACATGGTTAGACTTTCAATCTATAGGTGATGAACAAACTCTTGGCACCACCTATTATTCTCCTTTAGCCTTCCTCCCCGGTGTAAACTGCTTCTGGACTGTCAGCCAAAGATCAGGCTTTATGCTCCTGTGAAGCGTTGGGACATTTAAGAGTGAAAGAAGTTAGGTCAGTGCAGGTACGCCATGAAGGGGATATTTGAACTCAAGCCATTTCCTTTTCCTCTCATTGCCATGAGGTGAGCAACTTCTGCTGTATACTGTCATGAGTTCAAAGCAATTGATCAAGACACCTAGAACTTGCCTTGTCTTCCTCTACGTTATTACCTCAAGTATTTAACACAGTAATGGAAGTATGGATATTCACTATTTTCCACACTTGTTAAAATCTCCTTGTTTCCTAGTGGCATTGAAATAATGTATTTGTTTATGAAGCTGACATTTACCTACAATTATTATCAAGGGTCAGACACTGGCTTAATGTTTTTTATAACAAGTATTTAATCTATACAAAAAGAGACTTGAATACTTTTCAAAATGTAATATATAGAAAATTTGTGTTTGAAACTCATTTTAACATAAAACCTATCTGATACCAGATTGCAAGCATTTTTGTTTTAATGTAGCTCATTTCTAAGAAAAAAAACCAAAAAACCAAAAAAACAAAAAACCCAAAAGTTTAACACACAAGTGCCTTAATCTGCTGAGGCTTTCTGGCCCAGTCTCTTAAGTGCTAACATGAGAGGCCCATGGCATCATAAATGGTTTCAGAGTACAAGCTTTTAACCAGCAAACACTTGCTTCCTTTAGCTTACCTTGGTTATTCTGTTACTTTTGGCATTATCTAGTAATGTCATAAAACAACATGCTATTTATTCTGTCTGCCAAGAGAATATGAATATAGCCACATAGTAAGATGTCAAAGAGCATATCATAAATGTTGTATTCAGAGTGTCCAAGTCTACGTGCTTATCAAAAAGAAACTATAAAGATGTTGATCACCTATCTTCCTAGCCTATGGCTTATTAAAACTTACTTTTGAACATGTTGATGGGGAAGTCATACTTGTATGCAGTGAAAACTGAGCAGGGAGTGACTGAAGGCTGAGTGCTTACAGCTGCAACATTCTGTGATACACTACACCATTCACGTAAGAAAACTCATTACTCACAAGTACACTTCACAATGCACTAGATTTGTTACAAAAAAAGTGGAAACAAAAAAATCACTATTCCAATACAGAAGTAAGAAAGACAAAAGTGAGGAGTCTTGACTGTCTGTAATAACCTGAGCTGGCAAGGGGACTCATCTATTTTTTGTTTTGTTTTTTATTTTTAATTTTATCTTTTCCCTTCGAGACAGGGCTTCTCTGTGTAACAGCCCTGGTTGTGCTAGAACTCACTTTACAGACCAGGTTGGCCTTGAACTCACAGAGATCCATCTGTCTTTGACTCCAGAGTGCTGGGATTAAAGGCGTGCACCACCACATCCCAGCATAATGGCTCATTTGTAAAGGCACCAAGCCTGGCAATCTGAGTTCCTTCTCTTGGACAAGACTGAAGGAAAAAACTGACTCTTCTAGTTGTCTTGTGAGCACCACAAGCACGTGCGTGCGCGCGTGCGCGCACACACACACACACACACACACACACACACACACACACACTGCAATACAAGTTTTCAAAAATATAATTCTAGAATGAAAATCTAAGACGTTAAAACAAATGGATTAGAATTACTACACTTAATGAATCTTGCTTGTGTATAGGACCAGTAAGATGATGCCAGTGCAAAACATGAACCAGGTGTTTATGCTGCTATAATGCAGCTCCCCATTTTCACTCAAGTATTTCAAACAAAGTAAGAACTAAATCAGTAAATATAACACAAGAACTAAGTATGTGTACGCATCTTGCAGGAAAGATACGAAAAGAAACTTAAGGGGTCTACAAATAGGAAAAGAAGCCATACAAAACTGGTTATAAAAGACATGTAGTGTACCTAACAGAAGTATGATATGGTAGAACAGAAGGGAAGAGAAAGGGAATTCATTCTATGCTCAGAAGATACACACATCAAAGAGGAGATAGAGAACATACACCCCATACCCCAAGGAAAATAGCCTGCATTAAAAGTTAAGGAAGACAGATTAGCAAGTTACATTTCTATAACCTTTTCACCTTTTTAATTGAAATTTGTCTCTGTCTTAATGACAGTTTTTTGTACCTTTCACTGTGGTGACTATGATCTTTTCTTATCCTTTCCAACACTGGGCCTGGAGAAGAGGAGGTATTAGCATTAATCCCAGTTTTTAATGGCAGACAATTGTGAGTCCTTTTAAAAATACCTCTCAATTCTGATGATTATTGAAGTGTTTATCTACATCTGTAATTACAGCTACCAATATGACTCAGATACTGGAACTTTTGGGCTCTGTCCAATATTACAACTGTCAAAATTTTTTAATTTCAACAATCTACATACATATAACCTCTTTTTTCCCTTTGTGTGTGTTTGTGTGTGTGTGTGTGTGTGTGAGAGAGAGAGAGAGAGAGAGAGAGCGCAGGGTCTATGAAGCTCTGGTCATCCTGTAACTTACCATGTAGACCAGGCTGGCTTCAGACTCAAGAGATCTACTTGCCTTTGCCTCTCAAGTGCTGGTCTAAAGTAGTGACACACCACACCTGGCACATACCCGACATTTGCTAACACTGTGGCCTTGGTGAGCTTTCTTTCAATAAGTTTCACCTCTCTCTTATCATAACACTTAGTTCAAAGGACACAATTTTACAGAGCAGGGAAAAATAGGCAGTGCCCACCACTGCACCATTCATGGGATAGTTAGTACACAGGGATCATTCCACCTGTCTCTGAATAGAATGAAATGATGGCACCTAGTAGTATTGGTAGTTGGATACAACTTTTGGTAAAATAATTCTGCACACTTGAAATGTAAGTAGCGTTCTTTTGAAAAACACTGCTGTTCTAGTTGCATCCTACTCAGATACCAACATTTCTTCAGATACATCTGACCTTGTCACTTTTCTCCCATCCCTTTAGAATCAGTTTAGATTATAAATATCGACTCCTTAGGCGTTTCTTCTTTAGCAAAAGAAAACAATTCTAATCCTTATTAACAGAGTAATTCATGCCTACAAGTTCATCACCTTAGCTGGAAAGTAAGAGGAGAAAAAAACATTTAACTAGTTCAACTCATTTAATTTTCAGTTATTACTAACCTCAAGCAGGGTACTAATGCTGTTTGGCAACTGAAATGTTTTCCTACCTGCCTAGCTCTGCTTCTTGTTGATAAATCATATGAGAGCTTATAAGAAATGTATAACTTCAGGCTATATCTAACCCTGCAGCAGAACATCACCAGAACAAGAGCTCTAGGAGTCTGGTATGCACACTCAAGTTGTGAAGCACTGTCTTCATGACCATTTGCATTCTCTCCTGTTCATACATCTCAACAGTCCTCTCCTTTGCTGTCTACTGGTGATTTTACTTTTTCACTGAGGAAACAGAAGCAAACAGAAGGCAACTTCAGGTTACTTCGTATTATTTACTCACCTCCTATCCACTACCCACACTGTGCCTTCTTTGTCCCAGAAGTAATGTAGCCTGTACACCAGGCCCTGTCTATCTTCCCACAGCTGCATTCTTACTCTTCTCAATTACACTGGATAGACCTGACGTCTGCCTTCTTTCTCCCACGTAAACGAAGCTCTTTCATTCTGTCTTCTTTATTCTTCGGACCACAGCTCTTAGTTCGCAACACCCTTTGATTTTTTTCCCCATATGGTGTCTTCAATATTTCTCCTACTATCTTGAACTTAGCTTAATCAACTGTGTGCCCCTCGCTCCACCTAATATACACATTAGTGCCATCTAATGACTCCAATTTCAGTAAAGCCCTAGAAAATAAACTATTCATCACTTTACTAATGAACACTGCTTACCTGGCTGAACGTAGGTAGCCTGCAGGAAGTATTTCAACGCTCTCTCAAAGTTCTTCTCATTTTCCAGAGCATGACCCACATTATTCCATAATTTGGCATTGTTTTTATTCACCTTAAACACAAGTGAAAATAGAATGAGCTATACTCAGAAAACAATATGAAAAATTAAAAAAAAAAAAAACAAAAAAAAAAAACTCCAGTTCCAGTTCATAGACATTCGCTTGGTTAACTATTGGGAAAGGAATGCTTTCTGGAAATACTCCTAGAAATAAGTCAGAAATCTATACAAACTTCCTTTCCTTAACATACTGTAAAACCACAGCAGTTTGATTTCATTTATGTATCAGAAATATTCCCAGAGTTTTACTTGGCTAGAGCATAATCCTGTTTGAAAACTACTGCACTTGTATTTGTATTTTGTTTAGGAGAGAAGATACTAGAATACAAGAATGTACTTTTGGTTAGACATATTTTTAGATTGGACATATTTAAAGCTATTTACATAGGTTACTATGGAAATAGAAATGCTGAGATTAAAGTTGTGAAATCCATGTGTGTGTTTAGAGTTCACAGATGGCTATAGCATGATACATAAACAAAGGAGGAGCTGCAGTGACTGGAATCATAGGCTTTATTCGGTGTTCTGAGAATAAAGGCAAGCAAAATTCCTAATAATCATGAGATACCATTTATATACAAAAATTACGGATTAAGGACATGGTAATCATGCTTCAATTACCTACACAGCTAAGAGGGAAATAAAACTGCATGGTACAAGAATCATCATCCAGTCTTAAGTGCATTTATATAAAGATATCTCATAGGCTACCAAAAGGAAGCAAGCAATTCAGTGAAGCTAAGTATGGAGAATAAAGAAGGTATAACCAGCAGGGGCTGGAGGAGGGGCTGAGCAGTTTGCAGCATGGGCGGCACTCACAGAGGACTTGAGCTTGGTTCCTGCCACTCAGATCAGGCCGCTAGCTATTCAGCTGTGGGGGAATCAATGCCTATGGCCTCAGTGTGCACCTGAACTCACATGCACACAGCACCCCCCCCCCCAAACAGGCATCTGCACACATACACAATTTAAAAAAAAAAGAAAGTCAAAAGGAATTATGAGTTTAGAGATTTAAACAGGATAAGAGAGGAGCTTGGGAGGAAATTCCATTTTTAAATAAAATTCTGACTACCAGCCCTCTTCCCAATAGTGCTGCACCAGTGGTGACATTCCTTGGCTGACACTTCGGTTATGCACTTCATCTCACTGCATCAATGATATGTGGATTATAGAACTCATTACTTTATATACCATTAACAAATACAAAGCCACCAATTAACTGTGAGATGTCTTATTAAAACACTAGTTCATGTATCCAAAAACAAAGAAGACATGGATAAGAAAAAATTTACCATGTGACTTTCACATGAATTTAGTATATCATTCACAAAACTACTTATATATTCTTCAGACATATAATTAAGTAGTACTTAGGGAGTTGGTTATGGTGCATACTATATAGAAACAATGTATTGCTTCTTGGCTAAAATGGGATTAAATGTCTGCCTAGAAGTATAGTAAAGACAGTTTCACAAAGACACATTGTCCAGTCCTCTGAATGCAATACTTTACCTTTAATGCCGACATAAATAATGTATATTCAGACTCCCAGTCCCAATTCCTATGGAGTGTTTTCAAGGCATGGGTTAAAATCACCATGGACAGACAAATCCAAGAGAGTTTTTTCAATACACTATTCAAAAGATATAAGAAAAAACACTGTCTTTACCACCAAAAGCATTTTACATCTTAGAGGTAACAAATAATGTTAGATATTTCCAAATTATCATTTTGAATTCATTCTAATGATTTCCACATTCAGAGAGCACAACACCCCCAAGTTAAAGGCCATTATGTATATGGCCTTCCAATTGAGACATCACTTATATTTTATTCACTTTTTGGGTTTTGTAGATCTATTAGAAAATTCCCATAGGACATCAAAGGCTGAGGATGCTCAAAGCCCTCCTCTAAGGTAATAAACATTTGTATAGATCCTACATAACTTTCCCATATATTTTAATCAATAATTAACATGCAACAGTTAATATCTTATAAGGAAGAATGTAAATAAAGTCTATACAAATTTGGTACAAATGCAAATTTTTTTTCTAATAAATTGCTCTTCTAGTCTCTGAATATTTTTATTCATACTTTTAGGTCATAACTATCTATTTAAAAAAAAAAAAGAGAACAGGAAAACCTATAAAAACAGATGCAAATCCCAAAATTTTAGGCTACTTGTCAACACCTAATTCTTCATTTACACAGACAATCACTTCAACCTCTATGGTTTCCCTCAGTTAATATTCTGAGTCTGTCTGGGTCTCTAACATGTTTCAGTATTTTGCATTTCGACAGACCCCTTACGAAGAACAAGATAGTATGGATGAGATCCCATCAGTTGAAGAATTACGGTGTAAACTGTAATCAGCACTGTGTGATCTCGGGCAAGTTAGGTAACTTGTATGAGCTTTTATTTTCACATTTGTAAAGAAGGACAAGTGTGTTAAGATTAAATGAGAAAATAATTTTAAAGGTCTACCATAGATAATCCTTGGCACACTGTAGGCCCTAAAAATTAGGGGCGATTAACAAACAACTGGATACACTGGTGGAAATGACAGGAAATGTTTGGTAGACGTGGATGAAAACAGTAAGACTAAATAAGATAAAGTGTCTACTCAGTACATGTTTGTCAAAGGAGCTAGATGCAAAATGCAGAAAAAAAATGGAAACAACTCAAAAATTCTGAGACAGAACTTATGAGATAACTAGGTGGGATAAGTTTATAAAAACCATGGAAATAATTTTTAAATAAAAGTCTTGGGCAATACATAAGATATGGTAATAGTGATGTAGAGAGTCAGGTGTAAATCAAAATTTAGTGTCACCTTAATATTACTTGATTATTAGAAATTTTCTTGATTTGACAATTTTATTGATATAGTAAATGTACATAATCCCTATGATTACATCATTTCTAAGCACAGTGTTCCTTAACTGTTAAAGTCACATGGAAACCCACATTATTTCATAATGAAAATATATTGCACTATAGCTCAATATGACTGTAATAGGATGCAGTGTCTCAGTCACTGCACATGAAGGTGGAAATGGTCGTTTGTGCTTGAGTTTCAGTAACAGTGCCATTGTTCTCACCTGAGCCTGATGAGTTTGTGGCCTGGGCTGTAATATAAATTATATAGGGAACACACAGCTATCAAGATGAACAGCCTAAAAGTATAGATTATAAAAGTGACCTGCACAGACTAAAATACTAACACATTAAATTTAATCATCATCGGACAAACTAGCATTTAATTCACCTTTTATTTGAAATTTTTTGCCATCCATGAGCTACTAAAATACAGAAGCCCATGCTAGGGACATACAGCACTCGCTCAGCAACAACGAATCCAACAGGAAAGAAAAGATTTGATGCAGGAATAAACGGTAATGCCATTAAACAAAGTGCCTAAAACGAAAAAAGAAGAGAGCACATGAAATTAAAAAAAATATATATAGATGACAAACAATAAAAGCTTTTCTAATTTGAGTAAATGAGTTTGTAGAACTCTTCAGATAATACTATCATGAATAATGAACATAAAAGCAACACGGGATAGTAATAACAAACATCAGTGTGTGCATAAGCAAGATAAGAAGGAAGGTTTTTGAATTCTAGAACTTTGTGAGACTGGCTACAGACTTTATGAGTCATCATTTGAAATGAAACACTACCTTTCATAGCACTGGAGATATGAAAAACATAATTAGCCACACTCCACCTGTTCTCTGGGGAATACAACTTTTAGCAAAAGTTTACTACCAAGGGTCTCTTAGTTAAATTAAAAACTAGTTTTAAGAGGATATTTTGGAAAATAGCAAAAAAAATCCAATAAAAAAATGGACAGAGAAGACATACAGACAACCAAAAGCGATATGAAATATGTTCCACATTACTAATCATCAGAGAAATACATGTGCGTTAGAATGCTATTTTCAGAAAAGCAACAGAAAGCGAGTGCTGTGAAGAGTGTAGAGAAATGTCAGCCAATGCATACTTAATGGTGGGAACTGCATTAGTAACATCATTATGTGCAACAGCATGGGAATGCCCCAGCATACTAAAAACAAAAGTACAAACCCAGCGACCCCACTAGTATGTATCTAAAAGAAAGGAAACCCACACACTGTAGCATATCTGCATTCCCATTACTGCATCCTGATTCCAGTACCAGCAAGTGGTATTAGAGATGGGCGGATGGGTGAACACATAAAGTAGGGCATATATGGACAAGAAAATTCTTTTTAGCCTTAAAAGGAGGAAGAAACCCCTGCCATTTGCAACATGGATAAACTGATGAGCATTATGTAGTATGCCATACACCTGATACTTTCATTTGTTTACAGACTATGAAAATAGTGATAACAGAAACTGAGAACAGAATGGTGTTTACCAGAGCGAGGCAGGAAAGTTTGCGGAGATGTTGGTAAAGGGTAAAGGGATATATAAACTTTGTTACATAGGAAGAATAAAATAAAAATAAAAATAAAAAAGCCCTTACACATCTAACTTTTATTCATGTGGCAACATTAAATTGAGAAAATGTCAATAGATTTTTCAGCAAAACAAAATCTCAAAGGTTGGTAACAGACAAAGATGTTGGTTCCCAGAACATTACTTTAAGAAACCACATGATACTAGAATCTGAAAGAATGAAGTAAGGTATGTTTTAGATTAGACACCAAACTTCTGGTTCTGCAGCTTATTTAATACTATTTTGAAAAAAAAAAGTTTTTCTAAATGATGTTTTTTCTTATTTTTATCTTGCATGTGTGTATATGTCTGCTGTGCCCACAGAAGTCAGAAGAAGGCATCAGATGCCCTGAGAATGGTTTGTGAACTGCAACATGGATGCTGGGAACTGAATCTGGGTCCTCTTGAAGAGCAGCTACTGCTTTGAACTGCTGAGCCATCTCTCCAGCCCCTCCTTGTAATTCTAATGAGTCACATATTTAAGAAGAAGTTCATACTATGTATATAAAAATAAAACTATCTCTTTAAATCAGCTTATTCTTTAGAAGAATCACTAAAACATTAGCAATGCATACTGAGAAAAATGTAAGGATATTCAGGGTTCCTGTGCTTCAGAAGAAAATGGGATGAGATGCAGCTTTTTGACTATAAAGCCACCCATGGCTGAGCATATATATATATACCCTGGGCAGATTTAAGTTTGATAGCTGTGAACATTTGCTCTATATTTTGTTTCCCTTATCTTGTTTGTTTAGCTTTTTGTTTTGTTTTTGAGATAGGATCTCTTGAAGTTTAGGCTTCCCTTGGAACTGCTGTGTTGTCAAGGATGACCTTGAACTTCGATCTTCCTGCCTGCCCCTAGGGCCTCATGCTCAGGTGAGCAACATATGTAGTCAGCAACATCCCTAGGCCCCTTTGTTTTATATCACTTAGATGAATAGGCAATTCAATGTTTCAGTCTCAGAAATCTGAAACTTCCAAAAGGACTTGGGGGAAAGACTGTCTCTTAAGATGCTTCATTAATGAGATGGAGATGAAGATGTGTCACATTAATCTTGTCTGAAATGTCAGTATTTTTTTTAATGAAAGCATGAACCATTAAGTATTTTCTTTTACTTCTCATTTCTTAGATATACATGATTAAAAAAAAAAAAGAATAGCTATTTAGATACAGATAGTCCTAAATCTGTAGCTTACTGAAAAAAAAAAAAATAATCTGCATGTCCACAGGCAACTTTATTTGAAAGAATTAATAGTATCCATTCAGATACACCATAGGTTAATGACTAAATTACATAAACAAGGAAAATGACCACCCAGTTAAAGTCTACCCACTCTGTTTTTAATGATTAATTACTTAGAAATCCTAATTACTGAAGTACTAATTAATGTATACCAATCTCATTAACTATGATTAGCCTATACTTTTCTTCTACTAGTAATAGAAAGTTCTTTTAAAGGTGGGTTAAAAAAACAAACAAACAAAAACAAAACAAAACACACACACACACAAAAAAAAACCAAAGTCCTTTAAAGGGGGATGTTATAGGCTAAAGAGATAGCTCAGCAGTTAAAAGCACTTGTTCTTCAAGGAGATCTGGGTTTAGTCCTAGTACCCACAATGGCTGCTCAAATCTGTCTTTACGTAACTCCCGCCCTAGAGGATTCAATGCTCTCTTCTGCCCCTACAAGCACCAGGCACATGCACGGTGCACAGACATAGATAGACAGAAACCACTCATATGCAAAACAGAAAAGAAAAAAATCCAGGGGTGCTAGTAGCAAGAGCCAAGAGTTTAAAAATAAATGCTAAACTTAATTCTTTCATAATATAAATTATTCAATCACCTTGAGAACCCGTCCTTATAAACAAAAACGGGGATTGATAACTGTTTGCACTATGTTGTTGACGTATATTTAGTGACTATAGGTGATATAGAATCTGTCCTTGGGTACTACTTTCTTGCCCTGCTTCTCCAGACAACTTCAGAAAAGTCAACATTTAAGAAAATTAGCATGACTCAGAGTATATACAAACAGTTGTGTTCAGGTCATAATTTTTCTTTGACATATATGGAATAACGTAACATGTAAATCCACATTTATTTCATTGCTTTTATTGTGTTAGTTTATCTGCCTATCATTTTTTATTTGCCAAACTTGGATTCTCCTATATTCCCATATTCAACTGTCCTTTCAGCACAAGTCCAAAGGTAAATATATCATTTATCTATTTTGTGTGTGTCACAAGTTTCTCAGACTGCAAACTGTCTGGAAAGGACCTTAAAACTCCTCATCACAGAGCCTCAAATGTTACCAGGTAAATAGATTGCAACTGTAGGTTTATGCTGAATAAATGTGTTAATCTAGTGGTGCTAGCCAGAAATGATGTACTTGGGAAGCATTAAAATGTTTTCCACCATACAGTAAATGCTGAAGAAAATGCTAACTTCATCAATTAAAAAGGAATGAGGAAAAATAATTCTTGCAGTCAAGGCCAAAGGAGGAAATTAATAAAAATTAATAAAAACTAATGTAACTGACTGAATGCCACATTATTTGAAAAGTTAAGATTTCTTACCATTAGGACAGTCTTCGAGGAATCACCAGGATATCGGAGACTGAATATTCCCAAAGCCCCCAGAAAGCTAAAGAAAGCAAAAGTGGCAAGATTTCGAATATCTAGAAATGATTCTATAAGTGGTATTGTCCCCATTGTCCAATCACAGCACAGCTCTGAAGGATTCAATAAAAGCCAAGCATTCACAGGAAGGAGGTAGTTAAAAGTCAGCTGTCGTGTAGGGGTTGGGCTTACAGCAGCTGGATTATCAAACCTGCATAAACAACAACAATAACAAAAAAAAAACATTAAAAATGCTTTCTTCTACTGCTGAAGACTGACTGAGTAACAGGCTAGCACTCTGTACTGAGCTGCATCTCAGCTGTTAGTTTTTTGAGACAGTTATTGCTTATAGAACTCATGTTAACCTTGAACTCAGAATCCTTAGTTTTTCAAGTATGGCAATTACATATGCATGTACTAAATAAGTAGTAAGTAACAGCTCTAATTCTAAATGCTATGGGCTTTATTTATTTCAAATTAGCAGAGAGGAAGGAGGAGGAGAGTGAACATGAATGAGGGCATGAAACACATGGGGAAGTCAGAGGACAGCTCATGACTCGGTTCTCTTTCCATCATGTGGGTTCCGGGGAATTGAACTATGACTCTAAGTTCTGCTGGAAAGGGCCTTTACCCATTGAGAAAGCTCAGCAGCCCTAAGCCCCACTTTTAAAACAAATTTTACTTATTAAATATAGAGCTAACATACACAATTACTTCATATGCAATACTCAAACAAAAGAATAAATGCATTGGGGCTCTGCTGTTGGGAGTTGTTCCTGCTCTTGTAGAGACCTAAGTTCGGTTCCCAGCACCCACACTGTCAGCTTACAACCCTATCTCCAGGGTATCTAACACGTTCTTAATTTGCTCAACCACACTGCCTAACCTAAGTTAAATGTCTAGATGACAGAAATGGCATTTATGGAGAACCACTTGAAATCAGGTCAGTTCTTCTCAGTTAACATTCTGACAGCCTATAAAAGTACTTTCGTTAAAGAGTGACCTTCAGATTGAAGGTCATAAACACGTTGTATGTGATTCAGACTTAGTTGTTGTATAGAAGCCTCTAGAATATCTAGCAACGTTATCCTGTATGAATCAAAATTTAGGGCTAAATACTAATAAAAGTTATGATTCCCAGGGAAATGTATCTTTGTCCTTTCACTACAGACAAGGCTCTACTTAAAGCTATCTTCCTGTTTTGACAGAACCTTGAAAGTCATATTTCTAATACAAAGTATTTAGTATTAGCCCACTCAGAATTTTGTATTCTAATTGTAAATACTAACATCTTCATATTTAGTTTTCTCAGATTCATGATGTACTGACTATGAATTTAAATTCTACAGTCTACATTTTGTAAATTAAGTAAAATTTTTTTAAAAAAATAAGTGTATGACAAAGGAATATGTTTACATATTTGGTTTCTAGTCCAAATACTAAATTTAAATGACTATATTTATAGTTATTTGTTTAAAATGAATTAAGCATCAACCTCTTTCCTTTTTGAGTTGACTTATTTTGAAATGTATCAAAAGGTTGAGAAAAATATCAATACTGCTTGAACAGACAGTACATTTACAGCTTTTACAGTTAACTCTATGAAAAGTAACATATCTTTAGAGTCAGAGCCTGAACTGCAGGTAAACAAGCAGACTGAACTTGAAGCTTTCTCCTCTTTGAGGAAACACTATTCATTTTTAAAAATGAACAGATTAGAATACTTGATTGATGGGAGATGTCATTCTGTAAATATGTTTTTCTAATTGGTTAATGAATAAAGTACTGTTAGCAAATAGGAAGGCAAGATAGGCGGGACTAGGAGATGAGGAGGATTCTGGGAGATGTAGGAGGGAGAGTCAAGATGTAGATACTTGAGGGAAGAGGTCCGGACCCTCTTAAGATAAGATCATGTGGAACCACTTAGATTAATAGAAACGGGTTAATATTTAAGACAGAGCTAGCCAATAAGAAACGCTAGTAACAGGCCAACAGAATTATATCTAATACAGCATCTCTGTGTGTTATTTGGGGCTGGCAGGGCTGTGAGACCAGGCTGGTGGGAAAACTGCTCTAACACTTGATTTAAAGAATTCATGTTTAAACAAACCAAACCATAAATTTCTCAGGGTAATATAATTTATAAGCATATTTAAAAAGCTTTTATTTTAAAAATTGTATTTACATGTAATACATATCAAAGCACTCATATAGCACAAGCACAAATAATTCTCTAGAATGACTAATTACTGGAAAATACTACAAATGTTTTGGCCTAGATAATAATCTGAATTTTTTTTCTAATCCATGCTTATAATGCAGTATGAATCTTAATTTAAAAAAAAAAAAAAATTCCCAGCCAGAACCTACAATGCACTATTATGGGCAAAAATTTACGTGGTTGTCCCTTCCCACTCCCATCGTTCCCTTCCCAACCCAATTATTTCATGTAATACCAGTTACTTAAAATTTATGGGGGCACTAGTATAAATTACATTTTGAATTTTAAGTGTGGTTGTTAAGTAGGGGAAAAAAAATGTTACAGCAGGCAACCATGGAATGCAGATTTTCATTTAAGATAGTCACACTAGAGTAGGCATTATATCCAATGACTTAGGGCCCTTAACAAGGTGAAAACAAACAGAAGGCTATATAAAAAAGTGGAGAAAACTTGTATGAGGAAGCTACAAGATAAGGAACAAATGCCCACAAGCTGCCAGTAATACCAGCTAGGCAGTGGGTATGTTGTTTCTAGGTTGTGTTATTTGCAGTTATGTGCTATAGGTGTAACAGCAACGCTAATATTCAGGAAAGAATGTCTTGAAGAAAATCAGAGATAAAATCTATTAATAAAAACTTAGTGGTTGGGTATTTTTATAGCTTAGTTCCACAGTAGAGTAACCAGAAAGCTCTATCCTAAGGCTTACTACGGTTCCACAAATAAAATTTAAAAGCAAAACTTAAAAGATAACACAACTTTAAAGAATTGAAATATACCCCAAAACAAACCTCAAGAATATTTATGAGAATATATCAATGGAGTCTTAGTGCTTTTCATACATTCAAAAATTACCCGATAATATGACCAATAAATACAATTCATATTGACAAGAAAATGTACACAACACAAATAGACCAACAAGAATCATGCATGATAGAATATACAATTAGAGATAACAAAAGAAAGGAACATGTAGAACTATGGGAGACATAAGAGAGGCATGTCTAAGTGAACATCTGTGCAGAGGGAGCATATCTAAAAATAAAATGAAACAAAATATATTATTACTTCAAATTTTGAGACAGTCTATGAAAGCAATGCATGCCAGATGATAGTAAAGCCAACTTTGGAGCAGCTCATGGGAATAGCTGAGATAATGTTTTCTATTGAGTAAAAGTATATTTCAGAAACACAAGTGAAATAAAGGTATTTCTAGAAATAAAAGTTCAAGGAATTTGTTACTGGTAGACCAAGACATGTCAAATAATATCCTTCATGAAAAGTAATAATGACATAATAGGACAATGTTGATATAACAATGGAATAAAAAGCACTATAAATAATAGTATAATTTAATATAAAAGATTTATTTTTAAATTCTTCCAAAGATAAACATTTTAAGCAAGAATGTATGCTGTATGCAAACTGGAGAGGCTGAATCTTTGGAAGATAGACACAGAGAAGAGATGAGACAAAGAGAAAATCCTAACACTGTATGTAGATTTACATTACACATACCAACAACTATATTAAAAGCAAATGGAGAAAACACCCCAGCTACAAGATCTGAAAAGACAAAAATCACAATTTTATATATATATATATATCTTCTATAAGATACCTCCATTATGGCAGAGAGACAATAGTAATGTGCTGAAAAATATATATATTATGTCACAACAAAAAGATAGCTGGACAGTCGACATTAACAAAAAACCGTTAACGTTTGAACAGACCATTACTAGGGATTAAAAAAAAAAAAAACCCACTTCATAGTGATAAAGGGATTAATTCATCAAGATGGCAGAATTTTAAATGTTTCAGAGCTTTAAAAATACATGAATTAAAAATGACCAGAATTGCAAGAAGAAACAGACAAATTTATAGGTCTATCAGAGGCTTGAACATTTTTCTTTCAATGTTACTTGATAAAACAGACAAAAGCCACTCGGATATGAAGTCAACAACAGTGTGATCTTTGCTGTGGAGGTTTCACACCTGACTGAAATTATATATGCCAGAAATAATGTGTTGTTTACATAGTATATGTAACTTTATGAGTATATTGATATTTTAGTAAAGCTTTTGAAAAATTAAGAATAAACTAAAGACCTTCTGGAGCATTTATGATGACCCAAAATCTTAAGTAAAAAAACCAGACCAGAAAAAAGCTAAGATGAAGAACTTCATACCTTGTAAATACTGGAAGTTGAGACTGAATAACTTGGACTCTAATCACGACAAGTAACAACGTACTGAACATCAAGACAATGAGTTTTATTAGTGTCTGCAGCATGGAAAAGGGAATGCTACCCTTTCCACGGAGAAACTGGCCAGCAGCTGTACATAATAACGGCAAAGTATACTGAAAAGAAAAACACAGTTTCAGTAATAAATAATACCAGTGCATGCTTTCAATAGTGCAGTAACTGTAAATGTACAGTCAGAGCCAAGTGAGAGAAATGGTAAAGTAATGTGACGGTTTCTGGAACTGATACGGAATGGACCAATCTTGGTAACCCTGGCAAACACTGTCACAAGGTTACTGGAACTGCCACAAATTCACAAAGGTTCTAAGTCCTCAAAAAGTGAAGGTGTCCTAATATTACAATAACTTTTTGGTGGGTAAGAGGGCAAAATACACTGTTTGTTATATATTATGCCATTATTATAGTAAGCAGACTGTTTTATATGTAATGATACACATAGAGAATAAGGTTATCAAAATCTGACTTAGCTAGGACGAAAAAAGAAAATAAAAAATTTTATTTTTCCTTACCCCTTGGGCAACAAATACTTCATATACACAACAAATTCCAACAACTGTGATTCCTTGTTCTTTACACAATGTTGCAACAGCCACTAAAAGCACTGTCAATGCAATCGGGGTCCATGCTACAATTTAAAAATAGAAAATATAATCTATACAAAAGTTTCTTATTGACTGATACCTTATATTTTATGGTACATTTAAACTGTGCACTTTTTACACTGTACTGTCAAAGCAAAATATCAAGATGCAAAACATAAGTTTTGTGGAGATGAAAGTTATCTAGGGTAATACTAACTTCTAAGATAAAGGTAAATTTGGATAAATTAATAGGGCAGAACACGGTAATGAGTGCACAATCTACCAGAAAGGAAGACAAATTATCTGGAATTATGCAGGTACTAGCAAGGGTATGGAGGAAATGGAACACTTTCAGTGCTGGTGATGGAATGTAAAGAAAATGGAATTCAAATTCCTTAAAAATTAGTAAGCGGGGCGACCTGCCCCAGGCAGTGAGGGGAAAGCATGGCCCTGCCCAGTGCCATGACTGAGCTCTTCCACTCATGACCTAGGGGTCAGCTCTCCCGCTTGACACAGGTGGCGAGGGGGCAGCATCTTCCCCTCACCCACACCACCACATGGCAAATGAGGGGTATAGTGAGATATTCACTTTGTCTGCACCTGGGGCACTGACCACGCCCACTGGGGGCAGGGACAGGGGCAGAGGTTACTTGGGGGAACTAGGTCTGAGGAAGGGGCTCTAAGAGCTCGCTTGCTTGCAGCATGGGGAAAGAAGAGCATCCGGAGGCATCCTTGGGACCAGGAACCTGCTGGTGTTCATCTGTCTATGTTGTGAGTTGTTTCTCCCTGAATAAACATCTATTCAGCCTATTTGTTTCTCCTGATCCTTATTAAACATCAATGGAGGGGGCCAGGCCCAGCTCTCCCTCTCATGCCTTCAGGGCCATCTTGGCTCTACTGAGCTGCCTGGCGAGGTGTAGGGCCCACTTTTCCGAGTGCTGTGCCTGGTAAGGGGCAGGGCCGTTTCTCTCTAGCACTGCATCCAGTGAGGGGCCAAGCCCTATCCTCTCAGCCCTTGGTGCTAACAGGAGCCATGGGCATCAACACATGGGCCTTGGCAGCAGCCCAGGCCTGGACAACACCATGGCTCAGGGTGATAAGCAAGTCACCCACCCCAGCCTGCTCCTCAAACCTTCACTTCTTCATGTCGGCCTCTCTCCATAGGACATGACCCACCCTGTCTTTCTCTCTTCCATATCCTACCATATATCTGCTCACCATCACTGCCTTGCGGCTCTGGGCTGAGGAGCGTAGCTACCTGGGGCAATGCTGGAGAGCTCACCATGGTAGTGAAGAGAGGAGAGCTGGTGGGCTGACCAACCCTGCAATCACCCAGGCCCAGAACCAGGGCTGTGAGCTGGCCCACTGCAGCATCCACCCCACCTATGATCTGCTGGAGCACATGAAGGGGCCTGTCCTGCAGATCCAAAGCTACAGGATCTCCATAACAGAGGACGTCAGGATATCCAAGTCCCAGTGAAGGCCCAGTATTGATAGTGTGGCAGAAATACAGGTCCCATTAAGTTCAATTAGAGAACAAAATGTTCACATTCATAGTACCTTGGTATTCTACATTGAGATGCTACAGCCAAAAGAAAGCAGGGAAAAACTTGGGAGTTTAACATTAACCAAATATAGGTTAGGATTAATTAGGGAGCTTTTTTCTGTCCACTATGCCCATACTCTTGGGGGAAAAAAGGGAAGGTAATGTTTCAATTATATTCTACAGTAAGCTACATAGTAGAGATATATTTAACTATGATGACACATAACAAAAATAAATTCTAATAGGCTTTGAACTTGCCTAAACAGCATCATGGACCAACTACATGGTTGGGGCAATGGTTGAGTGGGTAATGCACTTGTTGTACAAGCAAGGCAACCTCAGTTCAAATCCTTGGAACCCATACATGCCAGGCACAGCTGCATGTATGTGATCCAGGCACAGCTGCATGTATGTGATTGCTTTGCTACTACAGCAAAATGCAGAGACAAGAAAATTCCCAGACGCTTGTGGCCTAGTACACAGCAGTGAACAAGTTTCAGGTGGAAAGTGAGGAACAGTATCAGAGATTGTCCCCCGATAGTCACAAGTGTATGCCTGTACTCCAACACAGCATGCAAGCACACACACACACACACACACACACACACACACACACACACACACGTGAAGAATTACTACTTGCATTTTTTTTTAATAGGAAAAAACAGATGAAATTCAGACTGACTCTGAAACTGACATTTTAGGACTATTTGATCACAGAGAGGAATCTGCTGGGTAATGATAAAATATAAATTACATGTATTTTTAAAATATAGACAATGTTACCTGTCTTATATTTTTATTCATGCTAAAGGAGAACAATAAAGGCAAACCCCAAATGTCATCGTAATTATGAAGCACTTAACTACAATAAAAAAGTTAGGTGGGTATTTACCTATGGAATTATCTGGTCCTTTTGATTTAGTATATGACAAAAATGCAGCCAGAAAAAAGACAGATGATAAAAGCTCAGCTCTTCCTACAACACCTGTTACCTAGAAAAAGAAAAACAGGACACCCATGTTAATGCAGGGTTCTGAAATTTGTTATGTATAATAGTAACAGCTTAAAACCTAAAACCTCAGCTTTTCAAGGGCATGGTTTTGTTTTGTTTTAATATGTGAGCGCCCTCATGTGGTAGATTTAGGTATCATTCATTCATGAAAACCTATCTTGTGAATAGGTCTTTATTTTAACTTGGCAAATATATTAGTTTTGTGTATTCTTTACTACCTTTCACATAATTATAACATCTTTTGCAATCACAATACAATATATAGACGATACACACACACACACACAATGTATATATAGAACTCTACATATAGAGTTCTTTAAAAATCTGTCTTCCTACATTATTTTCTTAACATGAGTATTTTCTTAGTATGAAACTATAAGTTTGCTAATTTGCAACTAAAGAAATTTCAAAATCTTTTTTAACTAAAAACACAAAATTCCCAAATCTTGCCTTTTAAAGAAATGAAACCTAATGTACAACTTAAAGCAATTTATCTCTTTTGTACATGCATGGAAAAACTCAGATGCCACATGGTTCCAGAGTGGGGAGAGGGGAGGAGGGAAAGAGAGAGAGAATCATTCTTCAAAAACAAAACAATAACAACAACAACAACAAAAAAAAAAAAAACATTTTTTTCTTAGAAGAAAAGCTTATAAAAATGCACCTAGAGTATTCTTAGTTCTTCCCTGGAAGGCATTTTTAGAGTGTCAATGTAAATAAGAACAATTATTTTGGATATATCTTCCTAAGAAGTATGTTCATTTGTATTTTTCACTAATAAAATTAAATGACTATACATGTAATATATAATAATCTGTTATATATTAATATACACATAATATTATCAATGTTGGGTGTCTTCTTCCATTGCTCTCTAGTTTTCTTCTTTGAGGATTTATTTTATCTTGTATGTACAATGCTCACATGTTAAGTGCACCGTGCATGCGTAAATGCTTGAAGAGGCCAGAGGAGGATGCTACATCTTCTGCAACTGGATTTACTGAAGGTTAAAGCTGCTATGTGGCTGCCTAGAACCAAACCTGGGTCTTCTGCACTTGCAGCCATGGCTCTTAAGCCCTGAGCCATCTTTCCAGCCCCTGTATGCTGCTTCCTGGAGAAAGGTTCTCTCAAGAAGCCCAAAACTCAGGGATCAGCTACATCGAGCCCCAGGGATCCGGTTGACTCTACCTCCACACTATGGGATCCCAGGCATCTGCTGCCACATTTGGCTTCTCACATGGGTGCTGATGATACAAACTCAAGTACACATGCTTGTGATAGATCACTCTACCTAGGTGTACATTCTAGAACGAATACTGTTTCCAAACTATTTCATTTAAAACTTTTATATAACTGGTAGGAAGGACCGTGAGAGGGGCAGAGTAAGGCTGCACTAGACCAGGGATAGCTAAGTGCTTTCACAGTTTCACTTACTGCTTCTGTGTGGATCGGGTGCACCGCAAAGAGCAGGGCAGCAATCACACTGCTCCTCTTGTCCAGAAAAAGTTTGCAGACTTTAAGAAATATCACACTAACAATGGCATGAAAAACCGTGTTTAGGAGATGGTAAGACATTGGTTTTAGTTCACTAAGTAGATAATTTAAGCGAAATGTCAACACTGTTAAGGGTCTGTATGACTTGTGGCTTCTCTCCTAAAAGGAAAAACAACCATTGATTATTAAAAGCCTTGGAACTTCAGGCTACAAAAAGCAATCATTGTTTTGCTTATTAAGATAATGATCAAACAAATGTTACACAAACAAAAAATCATGCTATCTCTGGAAGGACGGAAGCACGAAGAGGTTCCTGATTGGGGGAATGGGTACCGGTCATAAGAGACTGAGAAATAGATGCCTGGAGTATTACAAAACAAGTTTCAAAACAGTTTACTCAAAAGTGACTGACAGGCACTGTAGACAAATGCACTCATTTATTTATCCTCAAGGTATCATTTGTTTTTATAGAACAGGAAAACGCTTTACTATCTAAAAGCTGCAGTGTATTTCACACACCTAAAATGAATGAAAAATCTAAAGTAGAATCCAGTCTATAGGATCCAAAGATGAAAAGGTTTAATCCTAAATAAGTTAACACCGACTTTCAAAGTGATTTTAAGTAAACCTTTTCTTACTGCAGAGAAATAGGCAGTATGTACTTATCTTTAGAATCTAATCTATTAAATTGAATTTATCACATGTAAATGGTTAAAATTATCAATCACTTCTGTAGTAACACCCGTTGCCCTATGTATACATATTATTCTCACATCTAAATATTATTTTTAGAAAAGTGATTTAAGATGCACTGCCAATCAAACAAATCCAGTTTTTAAGATAGGGAGCCATAGGACACAGATACATTCATAGCTTTTAGGGGGAAGTATTTTTTTCAAACACTGAAAAACATCTGGAAACTGATCTTCTTAAAGCTCTTCATATTGGCATTCCCTTTTAGTGAATTTTCAAGAATTCTCAAAGATATTGAGGCTTGAGTTGGATATCATTGGTATACTGGCTAGTTAGCAATTAAATATCTATCTAAACATATTAACTTAAATGAGTATTAAACTATATTTGTTCTTTAGAGGTAAGTGAATTACACCTGTAATATGTTTAATTTTTTATTAAAAAGCTAAGTTTTATATACAAACATAATTATTTACCTCAGACATAGGTGTCCCCCAGAAATCATTCTGAAATAAAGTTTTTAAAGGCGTAGATGGATGCAGATCTTTGTTATCTAGAATTGCTGAAACATCATCGAAAACAAACCCACAGAACAGACTGTTCCAGTAGCAGGCAGCAACCACACCAACTATGATAGTCACTTCTTTGAAATTAATGTCAGCCATCTTTCCTTCAGGCATTGATAAGCAAAACTGGAAAACAAGCAAGATGGGAATGAAATAAACAAAAATTTCCTCCAAATAATTGCAATTTTAGTGTCCAATATATTTAGAATAAATAGTGCACATCAATGCTTCCAGAGATCAGCTTAAATACCATCTACTTATAAAGAAGCACTCACGCTTAACTCCATAATTTTAAGGAAGACTTCTTTCTTTCTCATATCTTAACCTTTTTAGACTTCTGTCTCTAGCTAGGTAGACACTGAAGTCCCATCTACTGTCATTGGCCAGCTCGCTGGGAAGCAGACACACAGTGCATCTTGTGGAAAACCTACACAATGAGCATCAGATTTCCATAACTAATGGAGCTTCTATTTCAAAGTGTATGTGTTTAAAAATTAATCTAAATCAGAGCTTCTGTAGCTTTGTTGAGACTACAGCCTGTAAAAGTATTTGAGTCCTTTCATTCTGGTGTATACTAGCAATTACACAATCTTATCTTATTTATGGGACTTTGTCTTTTGGATATATGAATTTATGACCTGTATGTAAATCATTTTTCTTTGCCCACTGCACTGAAGGCTTTCAGCTTAGAATTTAAGAGCCACTGCTTTGGGAAATACTGAGTTAGGGGAATGGTGCAGAGAAGAAAGGGCTCTAATAACTGGAAAATACAGAAAATCAGTCAAAGTGAAAAATGATTTAAAACTAAACGAAACTGGCCATTTTCTGAGTAGTGTCACTAGACAACTGAGTATTACATTATCACTGGTAAAAATGCAGGATTACTAGTTCCTAAAAAATGTTTTTTTTTTTTTTAAAAAAAAAAAAAAACTGTTGCTACCCAAATACCAAATCTGTGAGTAAGGTACTTAGACAGCAATTGCCTTTAAACGTATGAAGATCTTACCAGAGGAATCACCTAGATAGGCCCCATACAACCACAAAAGCTCCGAAAGAGAAGGGACACCTGAAGGGTGTGATCTCTGCTGGGAACCGTAAGCCAATAACTGGTAGCAGTCCCCACTAAGTCGCAAAGGGGGGGGGGGGGAGAAGGATTCCTTTTTAGAGCTTTAAAAACAACCATTGACACTTTGGTTTTTTATCTGGCTAGAATAATTTTGTACTTTTGATTTTCGAATTGTTAGCAAAATAAATATGAACTATATTTGTAGCACACTGTAGTAATGATGGACATTAATGTACTATTCACAGAGTCAGAAGGTTTGAGATCTGAGATTATCTGCAGGAGTTCTGACCATATCAGAAACGGAATGAGAAATAAAGTACATACACAGAAAAGGAGAACGGAGAAGTTTCAATTTCTCACTCTCAGCTACAGAATATTCCTTTACCCTGCGTGAATATATGTCACTGTGATTGGTTTAATAAAGGAGCTGACTGGCCAAAAGCCGAACAGGGTAAGGTTAGGCGAGAAAGCCAAACTGAGAATTCTGGGAAGAAGGGCAAACTCTGAGGAATCTTGCAGAGAGAAGCAGGATGGGCATGAGAAAAGGTGCCAAGCCAGTGGCAAAGCACAGGGGAGACAATTTAAATGTAATTGTTAGCTAGTTACAAGCCTGAGCTACTGGCTGAGCATTTATAATTAAGACACCTTGTTGGTTACTTGGGAGCAGCTTGCAGGACAGAAGCTTCCACCTACATCAGCCAATTGGGACAACACTAACTAAATAGTGTAACTAGTAAACAACAGATAGGGAAAGTGGAGAACAGAACCCAGTTGTGGCAGTCAAACATCCAATGGAACAATTTCAAGGAGAAGGATGCATTTTAGCTCATGGCTAAATGAATGGACACCTGGTTCACTGCTCTGGCCCTGTGGCATGGGAGAACAGCATGGAAGGAAGGTGTCAGGGAAGTAAGCTGCTAAGCCAAAGGCAGGAAAGAACAGGGAAGAGAGACACAGAATGGACGAAGGGGCAAGTCAAATCCCTTAAGTGAATGCAGACCCACATCCTCTACCAGGCTCCACCCACCAATTTTACTACTCACCCCCACTCCAACCCCCCTACCCTCCCACCCCCGCCACCCACTCTGTTGAGACAGGGCTTCTCTGTGTAACAGAGTGCACTCAGTTATGAACAGATTGCTTGTATTACAGAACTCATGATGCTCCTCTGTAAGCTGTACTTGGGGCCAAGTACTCAACCCACATCTGGAGACATTTCCTATGTTGGTTAACGATTTTCTATATGAATGAACTATAACATTGTGGAAGTTGCCAGTTTTGAGTTTAATTTACTAGCTTTATCAAAGTTAGTGGAGTTGTCATGCGATACACAGCACTATGATCAACAAAACACATGCTGAATGGTAGGCTGCTGGGATGAAACTGCCCAGTGAGTAAGATTTTTATAGCTTGTGTAAGTACACTCCAGAATGATCACACAATGACACCGGTTTAATGATACACACTTAAGAATACTTTCCCACCATTTAATGACATCTAATTACACTGTCAAAGTTTGGCTTAAATCAGGCATCTCATTTAAGTCCTAATTAAAGATGAATAGATTCAAATTATAAATTTGGTTTTGAATTAAAACTATTTAACCCGGTCTTTCCTTTTATGGGTGCTTTTTTAATTTTGTCGTCTTCCAATCGCATGTATATAATATTACTCTGACCTCCATCTCCCTTTGTCCTACCCCTTCCCTACAGATCCAATTCCCATATTCATGTCTTTTTCTTTTAAAGGATAGCAAATAGAGATTTATTCAGGCAAAGGGTGAAGCAAATACTAAGAGCAAGGAAGGCTCCAAGGAAAACTATCCCTACCTGTTAATGTTGTCAATTAAAAAAAAAAAAGAGTTCAGTCTTTTTGAGTCTTAAATGACCTTTTATCATAAACAAAGTAAGATTTTAGGTTCTAAAGATTAAAAAAAAACAAAGCAAAACAAAAAAAGATTAAAGAATACAGAGTATAAAGTGTCAGTTTAAGAAAGTGGGATAGATCCATGGCATCTATATAGTTAGGTATGATTATGGCACTTTGCCAGGCGGTGATGGCCTATGCTTGTAATTCCAGCACTCTGGAAGCAGAGACAGGTGGATCTCTGTGAGTTAGAGGCCAGCCTGATCTACAACGCAAGTTTCTAGGACAGCCAGAGCTGTTACACAGAGAAACCCAATCTTGGATGTGTGTTAGGGGGGAATATGGCACTTTTAAGCTACAGAAGTTCCATTTAGTAATCATAATGTTCAGTTCTAATGTAAGCACCAAAACTCTGAACTTAACTCTGAGAACTGTCCTCTCACCCTCCAAGCTTAGGCTCACTGCAAATGAGATATAATCTGTATGTTGATATGGTACTTCATATATTTGTTACACACACACTCGGAATATGATCTGCACTCCTTCATGTAGATATGGTAATTCATATTCTTGTTACACACACACTAATTTTAAGGTAGAATAAAGAGACAAGGAGAACAAAAAGCTGCTTACTTGACCTCTATATTCAGACTCTCATGGGTGTCTGAGGGTTTTCTGAAGACCAAAACCCCATATAAGGGCAGGGAATGTAGTTCAGTAGTAGAGTGCTTTGTTAGCATATACTATGTTTTGTTTGTGTGCGCATGTCTGTGTAGCTTGAAAGCTCTTATTATGTAACCCAGTCTATTCAACTCTTCTGCTTCAGCTTCTTGTCTGGGATTACCATTATGTCTATCTTTGTTGCTACTTAAAAGAAAAATTATTTTTTTCATCAAGTGAGATCTCGAATAAATTCAGGGTAATTACAAAGGGACTAGAACATGGGTTTTAAAGACTTCCCAGAGGTGTGTGCCATGAAAGGGAAAATTAGTCCTAGTATAGGTCCTGAGTGCAGCTGTGGCTTTGTTCAAGGTTTTCTGCAGGATAGAGCTGATGAGGAAGTGCTTACATAGTACTCCTTACTAGACAAGATTCATTGTGGCTATTAGCATATATACACATGCATGCAGCATAAGCACCCAACTTGTGTGCTTACAAAAAAATTATCAGCATACCTGCATGTAAAATCCAACTGTAATTAAAGGTCACTCATGAGCTATATTTAAATTCAATTCCTTCAACAAAATTACAAAGTTCTTCTTGGGGTAATAATCTAATGATATACTTGGGGAAAAGACAACGCTATAGGGCACACCTAATTCCTTCCAGTTGTTTCTTGGGAAATCAACAAAACCATTCAGACCTTCTCTATGGCCTCCTCTATTACCATCTTGAAGTCTACGAAGTGTGTATGCAAAGTGTGTGTTCACACTGAATCATACTTATCCTTCTGGCTACCGTTTGCTGAAGAGAGACAAGTGTCTGCTTGTTATAATACATTCCTTTACCTGAACATGAAGTTCCTTCTGGAAAATAAAAATCCTGAAAAACACCTTCACCATAAAAGGCATTAGTTAATAAATTCTGTATGGTCATGTATTATTTTACAAACTAAAGTAGTAAGTGAGCAATAGAAAGGACACAAATTTAAGTCCACTGGTACAGAAGACAGAGGTAACAATTACAGAGGGCAAGGCTTTCTCACAAAGTGATTTTGCTTAGATAAAACTGTTGATACAAGCCCAGGTTAGACAGAACACAGGTCGAGGCAAGCCCTCCTGCAACAAGGCTATTTACAAAACTCTCCCACAAAACTAGCTCTTGGAAAAATAAAGAAATACTGATGGGAAAAGTATGTTAGCTATTTAAAACTTACCTGTCAAGCTGCAAGCTCAGACCTTCAGTAAACGACCTGACTCACAGTTATGTACAATATATAAAGACCTAGATCACAAACTAATTTGTTTCCTGCTATACTCTTAAGTCAAGCACAGTGTATTAGCTCAAAATACTGTTGAGATAAATAGACAATGGAATTTAAGAAAACATACTTCAGTTATGATTGTCACTGAGATCAACAATCTTAGCTTCGTGCCAGTTACTAATTAACTACTTCTATGACCTTATTCTCACTTCTGAAGAGAATAAAATTTATCAATCGACTATGAACCTTTGAAGATATGACAAATATGAACAAGAAAGAGAGGGAAACAGGGGCAGAAAGACCAATACAAACAACCCAAAACTAGTAATGGAAAATAAAGTATGTATTAAAAATCAAGAGAAAATATCAAGGTGTTGTGATCAAAAACAAATTATTAATATATTAGTTTATGTGCTCAATAAATACTGTTTGCATCTCAATATTTTTGACAAAAAAAAACTGAACATGAAAAATACTCCATACTCTTTGAGTAAACAAAGCTATAAAATTAAAGTGTGCAAAACACAATTCAAATTTAACATTAAAGTTTAAAACAGTAAGACTGCAGTGCAACTATTTCACCTATTTCACAAACACCAGCTTCTACAGTGGCTGAGTGACGTGTCTACATTAAATGAGGAAACTTTTCCAAGTGCCAATCTCTTAGATGGAGAAGGAGGACAAGGTGTGCACTCATTCTGCTGTGCCTCTATCAAGAATAAGCCAGAAATCGAACAGTATTTGGGGGAAAAAGCAGACATGGTAATCAGTCCTACAAATCCGACGTGTTTAATATTTATTCCAAATAACAACCCCCCCCCAGCTTTTCCTTGTTTTTCTCAACCGCACAGAATTTTTTTTTCCCCCAAAAGTAAAATGTATTTGTCTACAGTTTTTCTTCTAATTACTCTGTGTGTGCGCCCGTGTAAATGAGACACACTGTTTCAAATAGCCTGGAGCTTCCTAAGTTACCTGCTGGAGTGTAGCAGCTATGAAGTGGGCAAAAGATGCCCGGGTAAGATGGCACACACCCAAGAAGGCGCCTTCACCTACGACTCCACCCCCCCCCCCCCAGTGGTACCCAGCAAAGGACAGCGGAATGCCTGAAGTTGGCGCGGGCCCCCCACTCTCCGCTCCGCAGGGCTCCCGTTCTCCGGCCTTCACTCCCACACTTTTCACAACCGAATACGCTAAATCCTGCAATGCTGCAGGGGGCAGGCGGGCGGGCCGATCACCCCACCCAGTGAACTCGGGGTGGGGTGGGGAAGCAAGCGGGGGCAGCTCCACTTCCCCAAAGCTCAGGTGAGATCCCAGGGAAGCAGGAAACTTTTCTGTTTCCACTTCCTCCCCTCGGAAGCCAGTGAGAGGGAGGGAGGCACCTGGGCAGCAGCGGGAGCCCTGCCCTCCTCTGCAGCCCCCGGCGGCCCCGCCTGCAGCCCCCGGCGGCCCCGCCTGCAGCCCCCGGCCGGGGCGTCCCGGAGCGCTGACCCCGACCTCACCTGAAGGCGGGTCCGCCGGGCGGTGGTTCAGGGACGCCTCGGGGACTCCGCGGAAAGCACTGTCATAGTGGGCCGCGCCAGCGCCCCGGGGTGGCCGCACCTCCTCCTCCTCCGCCGCCGCCGCCGCTCCTTCCCCAGCCCCGCCGCCGCGGCCGCAGCTGCCCGCACGGCACGCCGGGAACTCGCCGCTCTCCTCTCTCCCCCGCCCCACCAAAACTTCTAGTCCCAGAATGCACAGCCCCACGGCCGAACTGCACTCCGGGATGTAGAGTCCTCCGCCCTGACTCCTCCCCCTCCTGATCCCGTCATCCGCAAGAAGGCCCCGGCGGGCGGGGAAGTGCAGCCGTAAAGCGCTTCCCGTCGTCGTGAAATGTAGTCGCCCGCGGTATCCGGGGACCCTACTTCCGGCCTCGGCTGGGCGGGGCAGCGGCGTCGCCTAGCAGCGGCCGCCGCTTCGGCGTGGGGCCCGGGAGGCAGAAGCGGGTGGCGGGAGCGGGAGAGCGCGAGGACATCTCTGGGAAGGGGCGTCCCAGCGACGGCCCGAGCCGGGGCGGTGCTGCCCGCTGATGAGCGGCTGCCGCGGGTGTCAAGGCTCGGGTTAGGTCGGGTTAGGTGGGTGCACTCCCGGCGAGCCTGGAGCCGGCCAGCCTGGAGCAGCTTAGTGGCTTCCATTCCACAGCACAGGTGCCTAATCCCGTGTGTGTGCGTGTGTGTGCGTGTGTGTGTGCGTGTGCGTGTGTGTGTAGTTTGCTGTGTGCGTGCGTGTGTGTGCAGTCTGCTGTGTGTGTGCGTGTGTGTGTGCGTGTGTGTGTGTAGTTTGCTGTGTGCGTGCGTGTGTGTGCAGTCTGCCGTGTGTGTGCGTGGGTGTACAGTCAGCTGTGAGTGCGCGCGTGTGTGTGCAGTCTGCTGTGTGTGTGTGTGTGTGTGTGTGTGTGTGTGGACTCGGGATCTTGGGACTTCGTTTTAGCATAGAAGTAATAATGCAGTGTGTACATTATCGGATAATCTGCTGCCGGGTGGATTAAGTCTCAACGAGGCTTCATTGCCCGAGCAGCTGTTTTGCTGTCCAGGAGCACATAGCTCTTTGCCAGCACAGAGAGTTAGAATGATAATGTAAACACTGTAATGCCATTTTCCTTGAAAATGCTAAAAAAAATAAAATAAAATCCATCTGTCTCGTTATATTATTATAGGAGCTGAAAAACCAGTGAAAGAATTCAAGATGCCACCTAGCATAAACTGGAAAGAATTAATCAAAATTGATCCAGATGACCTACCACGCCAAGAAGAGCTGGCAGATAATTTATTGGTTTCCTTATCCAAGGTGCTTTAATAAGTAATTTGTACACAGACACAATATAACAAAGTGAAATTGCTTCCTAATGTCACAAGTGGAAGAGTGCTTGTATTTAAGCACAGGGTGTGAACTAGTCCATTTTGTGTCTCCTTAGGTAGAAGTCAATGAACTAAAAGATGAACATCAGGAAAATGTGATACATCTGTTCAGAATTACTCAGTCACTAATGAAGGTTTGTATGCAGGAGATATTTAGCAGTACAGGAAATGTAAGAATGTATCCCTGTGTAAACTAACCTTTATGGAAATGTTTGGCATGCCGGTATCACCCCTTAAAAATGTGTTAAGTGTAGATTTAAAAGCTGGGGGTTGTAGTATGCATAGCAAATATAGTTCCTATTCTAAAAGTTCTTAAAGAGTGTATGGGGGGAAGGGTGCCTTTTTAAAACATAACATAGATGTAACCCGACATTCAAGCAAAAAATGCACATAGAAGCTAATGGTGAAATGGAAAGAGGATTCTAGAGTCTTCATAAATGAATACTGAGGAAGGATATGTACTTTTTACATTAGGATGAATTCATGTAGCAAATATTTTGCATGCTGTAGATATTCCAATATTGGGTTAGTAGATATACTACTATCTGGGGCTTTGAGGCTGAATTTTTGGTTATTAGCAGTTTAGGATCAAATAAAGGTTTTTGAATCATAATTGAAGTTCCAATTATAACAAGGACTTAATAAATAAAATTATGTACCAGAAAAATAACAATTGTAATGGGAAAACAATAATGAAAAATATTTAAAATATTGGATATAAAATTTAAAGGAAAAAATCAGGGATGATTTTCAAAGTCTTGTTATTCCAGAATTTATAGGTTAAGTATTCAGCAAATATTTACTGAGTGTCTCTGCGTGCGAACTGTTGCACACACGAGAGACTGAAATAGCAAATGAAGTAGAATTTGCATTTTCACTGTTTGTATTATAAGGTAAGCAACACAGATTTTTCTCACTCATCTTCATATTTAGATGAAAGCCCAGGAAGTAGAGCTGGCGTTGGAAGAAGTAGAAAAGGCTGGAGAAGAACAAGCAAAATTTGGTATGTGTCCTAGAAAAAAAAAAAAAAACTGTCCTGATTCTATTATTTATTAATTGGTACAAAATTAATTTCATATGCTATGAAATACATATTCAATTCAGATTTAAAGATGCTGCATCCTCGCACAGTTTCAGGGGCTGACCTGACTGATGTGACAAGAGGGTGAGGAAAAAAACAGCACAAAGACAAGTTGGGTTGGGGTGGACGAGACTCTCCGATGGAGAATCTGCAGCACCCAGAGGCTGTGTCTTTGTTATATACACTTGAAGAGAGGCAGGGTTGTTGCGTGTAGCCACACGTGAAGTCAGATAAAAAGGGAGGCAGGGTTCTGGTACACAGTTGAACAAGGAGGCAGATTGAGCTAATCTCCATAGGAGTAGACTCTGCTGGGGAGTCATGAGTGTCGGGAAGAAAGCTATGGTGGACGTTTTCTGCGCACTCTCAACAACCACACTCAGGCGTGGGAAGGCTCTGTCATCTCCCATAGTTCTGAGGCTTGGGAGTTCCTGCCCACTGACTCAAGACTTCACTCACTCAGGTCAAGACATTTCTAGAATGCCTGTTTCCTGGATTTGATATATTGTACTATTTTATTGATGTTCACTTAGAATCTGATTACTGGAAATTTAACCAATTGAAACATTTTTTTTTTTTTTTAAATAGAAAATCAATTAAAGACCAAAGTAATGAAACTGGAAAATGAACTGGAGGTATGTCCTTCTGTATTTCCTTGCGTGTGACTGTTATTACTTGCATCATCTTATATTATTTTCAGATGTTTCTATTACAGGATTGGAAAAGACAGGGAAAATTTTGTGCTCGAGAGTTTGCCCATTGTACACCATGTGTTTTTATAAAAAATGACCAATGAGGTTATTATGCCCACCGCCCAGCTCCCAAGCAAATCACAATTTAGTAATGAATGCCAGGCCTTCACTTGGCTTGTTTCTAGCCGGCTTTTCCTAACTTATTCCATCTAGCTTTTCCCGCTGGGCTGTTATCTTTAGTTTTTCTGTGTATCTTACTTCCCTTCCCTAACTAACCCATGGCTGGCTGGGTGGCTGACGCCTGAAGGTCTCCTCTTCTTGTTCTCTCCTTCCTTCTCCTTCATCTCCCCTTTCTTGTTTCTATTTATCCTCTCCACCTGCCAGCCCCGCCTAGCCTTGCTCCTGCCTGGCAGTTGACCGTTCAGCTCTTTATTAGGACCACCGGGTGTTTTAGAGGGAAAGAATCACAGCATCACAGAGTTAAACATGTGCAGCATAAACAGAAGTCACACGCCTGAAAATAATATTCTACCACACACAGAGTCTATCTTGGTTTTCTTATGATGTACTAACTAGTCACAGTTCTTTACATTTGAATGTGTTAAAGTTCAGTTCTTTAGTTGCACTTGGCACAATCCAATTGTACTCTTAGGTTCTGAACTAGGCAGGGATGGACACTACAGAGAGTATTTCTGCTATGCTACAAAGTACCATCGGTTCTAAGTAGTTTGTGGTACCAGGGCAAGGGAAAATAAGAGCACCAAGGTGGTTTCTAAGACTCAGGTGCAGTCTTAATAATTCACAGCCCTTAGTCTCTAAGCCTTTAGTCTGTACCTCTGCCTGCATGACTGTAACAGAGCCTGCAGCCAGTTTTTCATGATTCTTTTGGTGGCTTAGGAAAGCGCAAGGATGTTTGACTTATAATTTTAAAGCCCAAATAAATTCAGGTTTGTTTGTTTTGTATTATATTTTTTATTATGTAAAACTTTCAAATTTAAATGTATTTTTATTTTATTCTTCCCCTCCCCCAAGGCCTTCCAAATCATTTTTACCTTGTAAAAAAGGAGGTTTCTCTTCCACCTTCCAGTTTCCAAGTAAACATTCAGAGGCTTAATATTAGCTATAATTTGTTTGGCCAATCAATGGCTCGGGCATATTACTGAGTAACTCGCACAATTAAATTAACCCATTTTTACTAATCTATGTATCACCACATGGCCATGGGTTACCTGTAATGTTCTGGCATCGAACTCCTTCAGTGGCTACCTGCTCTCTCCCCGACTCTGCCTTCTCTCCATATCTTGTTTTGGCTTCCCGCCTGGCTCTATTCTGCCTGGCCATCGACCAAAACAGCTGTATTCATTAAATGATAAAAGCAACACATACAGAAGGACATCCCACTTCACCACCGCCTCCACCCACCCAACTTTAAGTTCTTTCTAAATGGTGTTTACATGTTTATGATTTTAAATACCCTGACATTGAAGCTCAATAAAAATTTAAAGTCGAGTTCTTGTTTGTTGATTCATTTGAACCTTCATCTAAAAAAAAGGAATTGCTTATGTTTGGAAGAATTAATCCTTGGCTTATGACTTTCAGATGGCTCAACAGTCTGCAGGCGGCCGTGATACTCGGTTTTTACGTGATGAGATTCGCCAGCTTGAAAAGCAATTGGAACAAAAAGATAGAGAATTAGAGGATATGGAAAAAGAGTTGGATAAAGAAAAGAAAGTTAATGAGCAAGTAAGACATATTTATCTCAGTGAATCGTAATTGCTTAAGATAATCCTACATGGCTAATCTTTTTATAACTACCTTTGATATCGATTCTTGATTTTATGTTATAGTTGAGAAATAATGTACACTTAGCTAATTGTTGTAGCAGTGTTCATT